TAGGGGGGTTTGGAAAAAAACTAAAGGAATTAAGTTTTTTATCCGACATCGATCTTTTGACGTCGTCCCTAAGGGAGAAGATATTAAACACGCTTAGACCACAGCTGTAACACAGTGCACATTTGTCTTCTACATGTATGTATGCTTCAACGAAATTTGATGACAGTGAGGATATAGGGTTAATGAAATAAAATAAAAACTATCAATTGCAAGCAACAGTTTTAACAATAACAAATAGGCTTTATAATCTCATTGCATGTTTTGTCATGTACATGTATTATCAAAAAAAATATTCAATAATTCCTGCTTTGTTAAATAGAAATATTCATTGTGATAACAACTTTATATCATCTATGATGGTAATGCTGGCACAATAAATCTCTGGTATCTATTTTAATGCGATCACACTTTCTATGGTAGTATCCATACTGTGCATACTTTCTGCTGGCATACAAGTTGCACAAAAGGTCTCAGAGTTCAATACATTGTCCAGGTTGAAAACATTCTCACTTATCCTATGCCCATAACAAGCTTAGCAGTGTGGGTTCTGGCATACCAGGGTCAGCTCCTTTCTTGAAACCTAAGTAAATAAAGAAAAGAAACATTTATTTGAATGTTCTGGGTTTTACCGCACACACATGTACATGTTACTGTAATATCCTTATTTAAAGGACATATGCTTAGCAGTGTGCAAGAGTTCACAAATGCATTTAATAGCAGGCAGTCATCCTGTAAGAACAGGCCAAAAAAAAAAAGAAAAAAGATAAGCACTGCAGCGAGACTGGCCTAGGCAGTCAAGAGAACAGAAAGTAGACATAGACTGCCAATTTGGGCTAATAGGCGCCCTGCTTAATCATAATGGTACTGATTTTGTTCCCGAGTCAAAATTGAATCCTCAAAAATAAAGTTGAGTTATTGCTGGAGAAGTTTGTCTTCAGGAAAAAACAATAATGTGACTTGATTCATATATAAAAATGCTGTGGCCCTTAGTTTTACATATATTCTGTTTGTAAAGTGTTAATTTCTACTCTCTAAATTCCACAACTAAAGTAAGATGACTTTTTCACTATATTCATGGCACGTCATTTTGGGCAAACTGATACTTAGTATAATATTGAAACAGGTTAAATGAATCTAGGAGTGATACAAATTACCATTTCATCAGAAAATTTCATTCGCAGGTTTAAAATTTACATAGACAAGGAGAAATATCAGTCTGTACACGCTTTCCTTATTCACTTGGTTTTATTTTTGCTTATTTTGCCAATTGTAAAGGTTAACAACAGAAAAACTTGTGTGTGAATTTCAAATTTGTATAATTGAAAAGTGGAATACTTTATTTTCGTTTGGAATTAAGTTATGCTATTTTGGCTGAAGGAATGATTCAGTAAAAATCCAGCAAATATACCTTTTTTCCTATATTTTACATTCAACTTGTCAAAAACAAGTGAAAATAAATTCCACACCAAACACCCAAAAAGTCTATTTACGCGAAAAATTAATTTCAGCTAAAATAAATTATTTTACAGTAAGCTCTCTCTTGCTGGCCTTTTAATCCAACAAGGAATTGCTTAACCCCAAACTCTGCTTCTCTGACCCCCAATATTAGACAAGGATCACAGTGTTCTCCACAGACTCCATGCCAAGCATTGTGGGTAATTTGCATAACACTACATCTAATTTGCATAATTGTATTTGCATAATAATTAGTTTCCCCAACAAACATTTTGAAGCAATAATTCTACAATAAAGAAGAGATATTTTTATATCTCATATATTTTATATAATTTTACTTCATTGTATTTTATGTGTGTATCAAGTCAAATAAAGTTTGTAATAGAACAGCAAAAAAATGGTAATATTTATAGCCAGTCATTGTATATATTGTTATTTATGGAGGTAACTGGTTCATCTGATGATCATTATTTTGTGTACAACAAGTTTTAGTGCCCATGTCACTGTCAGTTCATATGACGTGGGGAAAAACATTTTTTGTTTGAATTTGCAAAGTCAGCCAGATTGCAGGTTATCAAAATATGAAGAAATTAATATATAAATAATGACATTTTTTTCTACAACGGCATTTCAAAACTAAAGTCAGCGATTTTTCATTGATCTATCTATACCTTATGCAAAATGCTACGATCAACATACTAGTAACATTGTCAGCTGACTACATTGCATTGCATGGGTATTCAACGCTGCTGTTGCGATCATCGCTCCCGACTTTTTGGTTTAAAAATATACAAATTTAGAATGTTTTATTAATTAAAACAATTCATTGACGAAATTCCTAGAAATTCCATCAAAATCGCCAATGAGATGTTGTTTTTAAACATCGCGGAAAAACATGCACTCCCCCTTGTAACCCAGCATGCATCGATTGCGATGTAACAACATGCGTTATGTAACCTTAGGGCAGCGTTCCTCTGTAATGAGGCACTCTATGAATGAGGTATTTCTAGAGGTCAGGGTTCCTTTTTTCTTCGGCCGTCTCCTCTGCTGTTGAATCATTTTTGCTTCGATTTGCAACTAAATTTCACTTGTTTTTTTTTAATTCTTGTAAATTAGTTTCTGCTGATGGAGTAGTAAAAAAATGCAATTAACCGTAGTACAGCAAATCAGGATAGATCATCAAAATATTACTACCCAAGTATTTGTTTTTGGATTTGCAGGCTCTGCACCCTTGAAAGACTAGGTAAATTATTGTAGACTTCTGTTTTTATCACTGTTTTTGTAAGGCTAACAAAGTCGGTATTACCTTTCGATCAATACATGTTATTTTGTTAAAGATGTACAAGATGAGGCTGACACTTGTAAACAATAAAACAACTTGAATGAGCATCGCGAACAGAATTTCAAGAATCGCGGGCGAAACGAAAGTGACGCGGCTGATTGTCTAAGCAACGCGGGCCCGCAGTGCTTGATTGAACGACCTGGGGAGAACACTGGACCATATTTTAGAGAAAGAAAGGGTCCCAGTTGTGATAAAGATACACAGAATACATTGTCACCTCTTCTGAATTTTCTCCCCAAAATGTTAACGCAATCCCTGTCTGAGGCTGATTATCCAGCTATTCTGGGTACACTCAAGTATGGCCTTGTGAATTCGCTATTCAACTGCATGTACATAGTCAGCACAGAAATCTGTGGCTCTTTCTGTGACTTGAGAACGCTTCAGATCGAGTCACTAGTTTATTATTTGTAGTCTCAGGATCATTCATGTAGACTGCTTTGCTTCGAAATGTTTAATTTTTCAGAAACAAATATGCTGTTACCGGTATGTTGATTGTATCCATTGTACACATGCAAATTATGTATATGTTGTTATACATATTGGCTCTCCCTGCGAAGAACACTTAAATTTACAAAAAGCATGGTTACTAAACGGAACGTCGTTAATTTAATTTTGTACATCTACTCCCATAACCCGAACCCTAACCCTAACAATCCAATCCCCAATACAATCCCCAATACAATTCAATATGCCCCTCCAAATAATTATAAGTGACCTGAAGAGGGCTATATACAATTGAAATGGGGGAGAAGCCATGGAAGGCCGGGGCATGTTTTGGATTAGACTTATGGTAAGATGTTAATTAATACATACTCTTAGTTTGAAGATGATATTTAACAATGCTTGAAAACCAATCGTCCCAGGACGAACTCTGTCATCCAACTCCCTGGAGGGTATTTTGACCGCCGATCTCAAAAGAACGCGCGACGCCTGTGAATGTTTTACTTATGATGATCAGCAAACCACTCACCTAAATATAGTATAAACGGTACGTATCCCCAGACAAACACAGTCCGCGTAGCCTTCCATACTACCGCTAATCTCTTCTTTGTTTCTGGTTGCATTTTGACCATTTTGTATATGTGTAATCGCTAGATTATTTTGAAGACGAGAAATAGCGATGTTCAATGTTGAATGTCCAATGCCTGAAGTTGTTACTGGTATAGTAGTAACATATTCATGGTCACAATTATGCAATAAAAATCACGTTATTATTCTATCGTTTTAATTTGTTTACATATATTACTAATACAATTACAATTGTAATTTTTATGAGTTTAGAAACATTGGCGTATTCAAACATACGAACATAACCAATCTATAAAAATGTTGAACTGTCGCTTCACAAATGTTACATTTGTTAAATAAACAGAGGTCATCATGGCGGCGAACATGCGGTTTGGGATCGACACGTGCGCTGGTTCTAGTTTGATAAAAGAAAGGACTATTTTCTCTCATGATAACAAGTAAATATATCGTAATTGTTTATTTGTTTCATAAGCTTTCAACAAAATCAATGTGACTGTGTCGCTTGCTGTCTATTACATTCAAATAATTTAATGCCTTTACAGCCAGGACTCTGTTCATGTATCATATCTGTGTTTTCGTCGCATCGATAGGTGACTGGTCAAATGACCCCTTATCCGACGTACATTTAATAATAGTTAACGACACCTAAATGGTATAGTCCGACACGCAAGTTATTGGCAACTCAATTGACCACATCCCACGTGAATATATGAGAGTGTGTGCACAGTTCATACTACGTACTGCACGGTATGCAGCGATGGTATACCAGAATGATATCTGTTCAACTTGTCATCCAGCTTGTCGCCTGCATTGTACCTGTTCTGTCTTTGCCATGTCCTTTTATTTGGATAAGTGCTAATGAAGGTCATCCGTCATGCACTCAAAGCATAATGTAACAGTTATATTATACAGTCGTCAACTGAATCAGATACTTAGTAAATTATTGTCTTTCATTATCTATTATTTTTGTTACATGTGCGTTGTAGGTATCTAATCTGTTGTTTTGGTCATGTGATCAAAGTACTTGCAATTGCCACTGGTGAATGTTTACATGAATTAAGAGGCCACCAGGAGTATGTTACCAGTGTTGTTCTCAACCCAAGTAATAAATTACAGGTAAAATGCTTTCTTATTGACTTGAAATAATATTAAAACCATATTCTATTTATAATTGTACATGTATCTGACAGACAAATTTTGTACTCCATGCATTATGATTATCAAAAGGAGCAATTTTGTGGCATTCCAACCAGATACATCCCCCATGAGAGCATTTTTGCATACTGAAATTTACTTGCCATTTTATACACCTGGAGCCACTGTTTAAAATCTTGTCTTCTGAATGACACATTTTTATTTTTTGATTTATTCATGATTTACATTTTGATGGTTTGTTTAATTATTTTCAACCAGCTTTTTTCAAGTTCATTGGACGGCACAGTAAAACTGTGGGATTACACAGATGGTATTCTGTTCAAGGTAAATCCAAGCTTATTTCTCTGAAATACTTTATTTTCACTTGGAATTAATTTTCGCTGAAGAAATGATTCAGTGAAAAAATCTAGCTTTATATAAACTAGCTTTAAATATACTTTTTTTTCTATATTTTACATTCAACTCATCAAAAATCTGTGAAAATAAATTCTACACAAAACACACAAAAAATCTTTACAGCGAAAATTTATTCCAGCTAGAATTAAGTATTTTACAGTATAAAAACAACATGTACAATGTACATTCACTATTTTTTGTGTTGCCACAGTCAGGTATGAAGTATGCTGTCATTAATCAAATCATAGACCTTAGAAAACAGGTCTATGATCAAATAAACAAATGTTAACAGATTTTGTCACAAATATGTGAATGTACTGTGTGTTAGCTGGCTTCTGCTAACCTTTAGTCAGTCATCAATGGCATGCAAATTTCATTTAGATTTTGCTACAATAAAGAGTAAACTGCAAACTATTCCGCGAAAGTGGTCATTATCTCCTCAGTTTAATTAATATGAGGGTTTTTCAGACAGGGTTTAAAATGTGTGCATGTAATCTGGTTCATGTACATGTATATTGTCACAAAAATGTTATCAGGAGAATTTATTGCTTGGTGTAAAGTTTGTGTTACAGTAGCACAATTCACTTAGCACAATGTTTTGTTTCATTTTTAATGGAAGGCCAGGTTGGGGAGAATTTCATGTGGCACACATATTTGATGACTGTATATACAATGTATAACGTCAGTATTATTTATTATTTTATTAGACATATCACATTGGTGTACCAATACATGCATTATATGTTCCTGTTACATCTAAGAGTTTATATGTTACTGTTAAAGGTAAGATTCTCACAATGTACATGTAATTAATGAATGATAACAACTTTAAACTTGATATAATCATTTACATTTATTTGTTTGCGTGACACTGACTTTGGAAAGTATAGTAGTAAGGTCACTAAAAATTGCAAAACAATGAAAAACTCAACATCAAATTACAATATTTTTATTCCCACTTTGTATGATCTGAGTTGTATTGGCTTTGGATTTTGTACAGGAAGTTCATAAAAAATCGTCATAATTCTAAAATTGAATTCAGTAGCCCAAAAGTACGTTTGATTTGGTGATTAAACACCACAAACTTCAGTGCAAGTTTATAGCTAGCTTCAATGCTCCAATATCTTAGGATTTGTTGTCAACTGATTTTACCGTTTTTTATGGTGATCACAATACTCAGTGGGAGGTGTGCTGCATAAAATACAATGTAGAAATGCAACTTTAAGCATACACAAAAACATGACAATACACCATTAATTGTATTCCTCATATATATATACAATGTATGTATGAAAGGTCGCTGTCTTTTTTTTTAGTAAATGCTTCAAGATAACACTGCAAATACAGTTATACATATATTAGGGCATTAATAATAATTCTTATTTCTGTAATTTTTAATAATATATATATATCGGTATTATATCACATCATATTCCAATGACACTATACTAAAACATCAGTAATATTTGCTCTAGTCTAAAAAATATCTTTGTTTTCTTACAGAGGACAAGAGATCAACTGAGAAGCCTTACAAATTTAGTTTGAAACAATTTGTTTTACCAAAGTCTGCTAATAAAAATATAAAACTAGGTGAATCATCTACAATTTTTTCTGGGATGTATATCAGGAATCAAAAAAAGGTTTCCTTTGGTGTGAATGCTGAATTCGTAGCTGCTGTATCAGGGAAGGAATTATTTGTTAAAATGTTGAAGAATGATTCAACTGAAATGAGATGGTAAGTGGGGGAAATAAAGTAAAATTTAGATATCTCCCAGTAATCTGATTGATTCTTGAGAGCTGCTCAACTATTTGATATCAGCTGACAAATTGTAAATATTCTAAAATCTCAAAAAAAAAACATTGTTTTTTTGGCAGTTGGATTGACTATCATGAATTTTGTTGTCACCACCTTTTTGA